AATCGCCCCACCACAGTCCCGAAGAGCCGTCCTTGTGGTGCTAGGTCTCCCTGCAGAGGTATCCCCAGGGGTTTTCTTCAGCCAGGTGCTGATTTTTTCATCCTTGCTGGTGGTCTGTGTCTTCTGTGAGGAACCAAGGGTGGTCTTCGAGATGGGCTTCCGTTGAGCTTTCTGAGAAGTAGAGGATGCAGGAGCAGCAGCAGCTGCCGAGAGCACAGCTGGGGGTGTCTCAGAAGCAAAGAGAGGGTTTTCTTCCAAAGTAGCAGCAGTGGAGTATATCTTCAAAGCAGCATCGATTTTCTCAAAAATGTCAACAGGAAAATCCATCTTCAGAGCAGGTGTTGCAGATGTCCGTCAAAAGAAATTAAACTGATAAGAACAGATACTATACGTGATCTTAGTCAAACACTGACTACTTAGCTCACACTTTTAGCAGACTCTGCTTTATGATTTAAAATTACTGGAAGTCATACACCTTTTCAAAATAAATATTAGCCACAGTTTCAGGGAGAACACAGTATCCCTGCTTGGATTTATACAAATCCATTCTGTAAATTGGTGCAGTCCACACTGCCTCTCCCTACTCAAATGAAAATGTATAGACAATGCCTTGGGAAGTGAAGGGGGAGGGGCAAGAGGGAGTGCACACGTTAGAGGAACAGCTAGTTTGCCATCTAGATTTATCAGCTTCATTTGAGTGTAATTTGTAACCTGGTTTCTGGCAGATTCAGACATCCAGAGGAAGGACCTGCCTTTAACATGCAAACCAGTGATGCCATTTCTTTGGCTCACTCCACAGGTCACCAATGGATTTAAAGTGAATTACAACACAGGGCACAATGCTATGCGAAGGGATGATCTGGTTTTTAATTACACACAGATTTTTACCCTTCCTAATTTTTCATGAGATAGTAGCCACAAAGAGACGGGAAAATCTTCCATTTGTACAGCTGGTTCTGCTTAATTAATTAGATCACTTAATGAAAGCATCTTAAATTAGTTTCCCTGACAAGGGGATGGCGCTAATTCAGGGAGAACAGGGGTTTAAAAAGCCAGCTTCTACTGTGACGGGTTGGATCACAGAAACCCCCTTGGGAGCTGCCACCAGATGTGCAAAGACTACCCCTGCTCCTGTTTTCTTGTGCTGGGCTACAACCACTC